ATTATATATCTTATCAATGTTAATTAAAAAATTAAATTTAAAAAATATTTATGATTTAAAATTCAAAATTGTGTCATTGAAAATTAATATTATATTAAAAATATTTTTAAAAAACAAAACGTTATAAAATGAATAATAAAATAAAATTTTAAATTTTCCTAAAAAATAAATATTTAAAAATTATTTTGACATAAAAATAGTTATGATTAGAATTATCATATAGTTTATTTTTAGTTTTTAATAATATATATGTGTATATATAAGTATTTGTGTAAAAGAATATTATATATAAAATTTTGTATAATAAGCCAACAACTTTATTGTAACTTAACTGATAAAGCCGCGCATGCAAGTGCTTAAATACTACCTACTTCTAATCCTTAGTATAAGACCTAGTTGATACATGATCTTTCTGAAATATTTATCTACATTATTAGATTATATATTAGGCAAATTAGTTTGGAAATAAACAATAAATATAACTATTTTTAAATAATTTTTTTAATCTTTTCAAATTAGTTAACTAAGTGAGACATTAAGAAGTAGAAGTAATATAAATTTATATCTCTATTGTTTTGAGGTAAGATATGGTGTGAATTCTATCTGCTTTCTCCCCATGAATGTTTCTCCCCATTCCTTACACATCTCATCCAACTGAAATGCCAATAAACTTGAGTTGACTATGCGTGTCAACCCAAACATAATTGCGGGTTCTATATCCCTGGAGCTCATTTGTTGGTCCAACTTGGTTGGCTTTGGAATGTTCTCATAATTGCCAAGAATTTTTCTATATTTTTAATGCTATCCAACCCAACACACTATCTCGTTTTTCTTATATCTAATCTTCTCCACACCCATATAAGCGTCTGTATCTCTGTTTACTCAGTTATATTTTAATTTAAACATATATTTTAAAATAATCTTTTTAGATTATTATTTTATTTAAGACTATCTACAGACCAGGCAGTTGCAACTTTAAATTCCTATTTCAAAAAAAAAAATTTCATAAATCAAACGAGAAGGCAACAGGGTTAATTAGAGAATTTCATAGTTTGAAAAACATCTAGTTTTCTTTTTATTTTTTTTAAAACTCAATTCAGTGTGCGCGCGCGCGCGCGTATGACTGGAACTTGGAAGGAGCAATTTATTAATTTCATCTGGTTTGAAAAGTGCTCGTGTTTTTTCTTCTCTTTCTTTTGATCAAAACCTTATAATGTCACTTGATTTTAATTAAGTCCTTATAGTTATTTCTCTTTTTATGCAGTCCTTATAATTTTACTTAATTTTTAATAAGTCTTTATGGTTTTTGATAGTAAAATGAAAAATCTAGAGAAACATGATTAAAAATTAGATAAAACTACTATATTTGGTTATTAATATGAGAGCTAGTTGAGGGGTTAAATTAATTCTTATTTATAAAATTTTAATCTACTTTGCCTCTTATTTTTATCTAAAGCATTCTTTTATAAAAAAGTTCCGATCAAGGGAAATTATTTCACTGTATATGATTAAAGGGGCAACATAAAAATACGATAATAATTAAAAAAATACTGGGACCTTATATTGAACTTTCCCGCACAAATACATACACACGCTTTACACGACATGTGGATCCCACAAGCCTCTGCTCTCGTAAAGGTCATTTTAGAGCACTTGAGCTCAAGTCTTCCTTTCTTTATCCCCTTTTTTCTTTTTTAATACGGCAAGCATTAAGCAATAATTGCGGCATGTGTCCTCTGCAAGGAGACAGAGACTTCTTTCATTGGTTAGTTTTTTTATGAGGAATTTCATGCCATAATTTATTTATGCACTACATAAAACACAGTTAATCGATAACCATTAAGTACAATTAAATTGTTATTTATTATCCCTTCTGTCCCGTCTTGTATATAAGGAATTTTTTTAGGCATGGTCTATTTTTACTTATAAAAGACACTAATAGTCTGTTTAAATGTTTTAGTATCATTTTTTATTTTTGTCTTCATTAATTATTGATTAGATTCGCTATGTTAGTTATCACACTTACAGCCCATTTGGTATGTTGGAATTGATTTTGATGGAAATTAAATGAATAGGAAGATGGATATTGAAATGAAAATTAATATGGAAATAGTGATTAAAATCGTGTTTGGTATGAGTATGAAAATCTAATTTAATTTTTAATTAGTATATATGTTTAAAATGTGTAAATACTAAAATACTTCCAAAATTTAAGTGGAAGAAGACGAAAATGGAGAATAAAGTGAAGACGAATCTAGGAAGAAGACGAAGTCAAAGATTCATGGAAATGTCACAGTTGTAATCATCATCCCATTTCTGAGCATAGAAGCCTTGGGAGAGGTAGAGGCTGAAAATGTAAACTGAAACATGAAATTAGAAATCTTGGGATCTCAACATGGAAGCCGTTTCCATCTGTTTTGATAGATGTGAAAATGGAATTCCATTCTACGAAACGAGCTCAAAGCATGGAATTGGGCTCCACTTCCCTTTCCATGCTACCAGAGGGACCTGATATTTGCTCATTCTCTTTCAGTCACTCACTTTCTCTCAGGTTGCCTTTTTTGTTTAAAGCTAAGTTGTATTTTCTTTTTGAATGATAAGTTGTATTTTAATTTTAACTAATTCCGTAATTTTGATAACTTAGTTATTTTATAAAGAGAATAAGAGAGAATAAGTCATAATCTATATAAAATTTTTTAAAGGGCTGCTTTAAAGAGAATTCACGCTTTAGACTGGCTTTAAATGATTGTTTCTGTTTGGATTGATTCCGTGAGAAGGATTACATGTATCCTAATTTTGTGATGCTGCTTAATCACGTTAAATAGCTATTAGAATTACATTTTTGAGACATATAAATAGAGGTACAGACCTCTTGTAATCAAATGCAAAAGACACTTCTGCTTAATTATTTAATATAATACACTTAAATTTATACAATTTTAATTCATAATATATGTGCATAGACAGGATAATTTTATGTTTTATTTACTATTTCTATTTATCCACACGTTCTCTGTAATCTAATCAAATACTTTTATACACACGCATCACCTTTGCATAATGGTATGCCAAAAAAAATAATGTAAACATCCGGTCAAAAAAAGATATGCAAACATGACATTGCATTTTCTATGATTCAACTAACCAAACGCGATATTAATAAAGACAGATATTATATGGATGACACAATTATTCTTATCTGTCAACGCATGATAGTCTAAACACAATAATGAGTCGTAGACTATACACAATTCCATTAGTCTATTCTTCTCGTCAATGTGATGGATTATGCTAATCAATAATGCTATAGTCTGCCCAATAATATGATTATTCAAATTGCCACATGGTTTGACTCCGAGGCTGTGTTTGGATGGAGGGGAAAACTAAAATAGGAGGATGAAATACTAGGAAGGGAAACTTTCAAAAATAGTCAAAAAATTTTACTAATTTTGAGAGTTTTTCCTCCTAGTATTATTTTCTCCCCATCTAAACATACAGTAAGTTCCTCAAATTTCTTAAGCATCCATTAAGTGAACACAAGAACTAATAGGTGGCTAGACTAGAAGCATTATAAAATAAAATCAACGTGATCATATCTTGAATAATAAATATAAGGGGAAATACGTATTCAATATATGCAGGAGTCTAAGATAATCCTAAAAATAAGAGTTTAGCTGGTAAGGAAGAACAAGAAGATAGTGAAGGGAGGAAGGAAAACAAACTTCAAATTTAGAGCCCCAAATGTCGTCCAGCCTTCAATATTCTCGCGTTGCAAAATTCACTTTTCCCAAGCCTTAGCATCAGTTGGCTGAAATTATCAATATAAAATATATGGTCAAAATATGAATCATTCCGGTCAAAAACAAATGGGTTAATATTATTATTGTGATTTTGAATTCAGACCAAATCTTTACAAACTTATAAGGACCAAAACCAACGATTTGAACCTACATGGATCAAAATCAAAATTCGATTAAATTATAAGAACTACCAATGTTATTAACCCAAAATAAATTCTATGGTGTTGCTGGGAAGATATATTTACATGAAATACAAAGGTATCTATATTTTGTCTTTTTCCTTCGCAGCTAACATGAGTCACGCTATAAATACCTCATCGATGGTCTCACTTCCATGCAAGCTTATTTGAAGTTTCATCTCTCAGTATTGGAACTCTAAAACAAGCATGGCTTTCTCCATTTCTTCTAAAACACTGTTCCTTCATCTCTTGATCTTTTGTTCCATTCTCATATATCTCTCTTCAGGACTCCCCACTGAAGAATCCGTTCTCCCTTCAAAAGGAGAACAAGAGTTTGGAATATTCCGACAATGGATGAAGGAGCATGGGAAAAAATACCCAAACTCTCAAACAACTGAAACCAGATACCAGATATTTCGAAAGAATCTCAAGTATATTACTGAGACGAATTCCAAGAGATCTGGCTATCGTTTGGGACTCAACAAGTTTGCTGATATGAGTGCTGGTGAGTTTAGGAAAGTGTACCTCCGTCAGCTACCGACACCGACCACCAACAACTCTGCCGCCGCCGCGAGGTCCGGTTATGTGCAGAAGAAAGATTGCGCACCACCTGCTTCTGTGGATTGGAGACAGAAAGGAGTGGTGACTTCCGTTAAAGACCAAGAGCAATGTGGTAAGTTGCTTCTGTTCAAATTAATTGGTGCAATGCAAACAATAATGATATAAAACCATCTTATTAACCAAAGAATTAACGATTATAAGAGAACAACGTTCTAGTGAGTGATTTACCCAAAAATTTTGCAGTAGTACATGAGGTGAGTTCCTATATATGTTAACCTTCCTCTTTAGCAAGGATTAAAGCATTGCGCTTACCAGAATTAAATATATCCACAACCAAATCTTTATACTTGACGCATGCATAGTACACGCATATTACTGTCATTTACATCGTACGCGTATATTAGTCAAAATTTTCTGCAGCCTCAGTGGACTAATGGATTAATATTTTCATGGTTCATAGGAAGTTGCTGGGCATTTGGAACCGTTGGAGCTATTGAATCAATAAATGCAATAAGCACAGGAAAACTTGTTTCCCTTTCAGAACAAGAACTCGTAGATTGTGACTCTGCAAGCGTTGGTTGTTCAGGTGGATATACCGAAAGTGCCTTTGAATGGGTCATAAAAAATGGGGGCATTAGTGAAGAAGCTAATTATCCTTATACAGCTCGAGATGGTGTTTGCAAAGCTAAGGTTTGTTTCCTCCCCCTCTGTCTCTCTGAAACTATAATAATGATATCTTTTATGTGTGTCTAATTTGAGGTTTCTTATATGTGTTTGTAAAGAAAAATGGAGGAAGAGTCGTGAAAATTAATAGCTATGCAAAAGTACCCAAATCAGATGCTGCTCTTTTATGTGCCACTGCTAGGCAGCCAATTACCGTGGCGTTCGATGCAAATTATCTTCAATTCTACGAGGATGTAAGTCTTTTCTCAGTCTTCATCCAATCTTTAATGCGTTTTTATTATCCTACTTTATTATTTTATTGAATTAATCTTCTGGGGCTTTCAAGTATATATAAAATCTTTCTTTAATTTTTATCTCCAGAAAGTTATGTGTACAATTCAAGCTTTTTGAAAAGTACCGCATAACGTTATGACTATGTGATATTTCTTTTAACTACCAAATATCGATCATATGGTTTTGAAATTTCTCCTAACTACTCCTTTTTTTATGTTGTCAGGGAATTTTCGATGGAGGGAATTGTAAGAGGCGTTCAACTTATGCAAACCACGCGGTTTTGATTGTTGGATATGGTTCAAAAGATGGAAAAGATTATTGGATTGTGAAGAATTCCTGGGGAGGAGACTGGGGAAAGAATGGATACTTCCTGATAGAGAGGAATAAAAATTGGCCAAATGGGGTGTGTGCTATTAATTCCTGGGCTTCCTTTCCCACCATGTAGATTATAGAGACTAGAGCACTGACTAGCATATCTATAGTAAACTTCTGATTCCACGTTGTTATGAACTCATGGCCACTATAAATCTTAAATAAGAAGTCATGAATTATTACTATAGTAAAAATCTTTGCACGCACGTGGACTAGCTCCGTCCACGGACTCCTGTACCAAATTAGTGATCGTGTGAAAAACAAACTATATACTCGATTCAGTGCCTAATATATTAGTTATAATATCTCAGTTTATTTTGTTTTTCTTATTTATCATTTTTCATCAAATTAATTTATCTAATTTATAAACTTATGTAAAATTTGATGTTACATATGGTTATTTTAGAAAAACATGTCATATTTGTTATAGTTAATGGACTTACTAGTCCTAATATATATTTTCATGTTACTGCATTTTGAAACCATATAATTTAGAGAAAAATGTTTTTTTTCAAGGTAAACAAAATAAAAAGTGGATAAATTTTTAAAATTAGATATAGCAACAGAAAATAAATTATTAATAAATTATTAATACATTATTTAACATTATTAATAAATGTTAAAAATATAATATAAAAATAAAAGATGGAGGGCATGAGGGTAAAATGAGTTTTCGCTTCATTTTCTCTTCACACATGGAGAGAAAGGTTGGAGAGAAAATAGGACAAGTCTGAAACCCTATTTTTTTCTCTCACTTTTCTTTCCTCTTTTTTTTTTTTAACCTTCTATCCAAACAAGAAAAAACTCACTTTTCTTTCTTTTTTTCTTTCTAATTTTCTTTCCTCCCTCATTTTCTCTCAAGGAACAAAAAGCCAGATCGAGCACTGAATTGGTTTGGATATTGGTTCAGGGATCAATGAGTTAGATCAGGATCAAACTATGGTCAGATCGATAGTAATTAAAATAATATAATTTAGTTAAAATAGGAGCAAATATTCATATTTTAATGATAACAAATAACATTCCTCCAGTCCTAAATATAGTAGCTATTTTGTAGTGTAAATTACACTACAAAATGGGTCTTATATTTAGGACTGGAGGAGTATTTAATTTTTGAATTGGTAGTCACGTTTTAAATAATTTTTATATATATATATGAATTTTTTCCCTTTCTTCTTCCCTTCTTTTCTCCCATAATCGAATAAAAATTCTTTTTTTTTTGTTTGCTTTTAATTTTCTTATTCTTTTTTTTGCTCTCTCTTTCTTCTCTCCCACGTGACCCAACTAAGAGCCTTTCTTTGTAATGCGCAAAGCAGCCTTTTCTTTTCTCTTTCTTCCTTGGACAATGAACAAGTAGAGCAATAGTAGCAGACTTGTATCTCTTTGAAGCTTGAACGCGCATCACTCTCTTCGTTTTCTATCAAACCGGTTTGTGTGTTCCTCACTTCTCATTCATCCATCTTACTCTGTCTGTTATCTTTCTCCTGCCCTTCTAATCCTCTACAAGCAAAACATGTTTGATGTTTTAGAGTGGCAAACAACAGACTTCCAAACAAAGTTTCATCTTCCTCTTTGTGATCTCCTCTGCTTCTGCCATTGCAGTGTTCATGGTCTCCAGCCGGCAAGTCATCCATGTCCGACAAACAGTAGGAACAAGAAGGAAGTGAAAAACAACAACTGGCCAACCCCACCGAAGCGAACGGTTTGCACGGTTTTTACTAGTTCATTCTGGTTTGTTTCGGTTTGATTGGAAGCCAGTTTTTAAGCTAAACAAGACCGCACATTTGGCCGATTGACCGGTTTTCTAGTTCAACTGGTTGGTCCGGTTTTTTTTCCCCTTGTTTTCTCTACACCCAAATTAGGGAAAGTCATAAATAATGAATTAAAACACAACTTATCAGTCCATCATATTTCATAGGGCAAAATAACATTCAACATCTCGATCTTATTTTTCAGTTGCATCCAACATCCTAATTTTATTTATAGTGCATCTAATGTAATATACTATAAATAAGATTATGGTGTTGGATGCAAATAGAAAGCAATATGAGAGGGTGCTTGATGTACTAGGAAAATAACATTAAGGTGTTGAATGTACCATAAATAATATTATGATACTAAATATTACTGAAAAATAACATCAGAATGCTGGATCCTACCATGTACTATTTCAATTCCACTATATTTTTAATCCACGAACACATTGTTTCATATTCCATACTATCCTAATAACTCCCAGATTACATCCGAGATTTTTGAATAATCTCATAAAAAGTCATTTAAGTGAAATTTTTTAATGCAATCAACTAGAGCAAACACATGTATTTTTTTACACACACACACTACCTCTAGTATAAGAGCTACTTAACTAATTTGAGTAGATTAAGAAAATTAGTTAAGTTAGTTATTTGTAACAAATATGAGTTAATCTTCCTCCAGTACCCCTTTTAACTTTACAGAATAAATTACAAATTTGGAGAAACAAAGTGAATTGAGGTCTTATATTTATGACCAAATTTAATTCTCAATTAACTCTTATATTAAGCAGCGGAGATAGTATAACAAGTATAAAATGTCCAGAGTCTCAATGCAGAGAATTAGTTCCCGGCAAAAATTTTAGGGGGAATTACAACCAAGACCCACAGAAGAGAAATAATTACTGAAAGGTCCCAATAACAACCCCAGCAGCCTATAATAACAAGTCCTATAGTGAGAATGATAACCTTTGGGACTTGTTTTTTAATTGTTTTCCTTGATTGGGACCTCATTGTAATTCTCCCAAAATTTTAAGCTTCTAGTTTTCATGTTTATTATCATAGCCAATCTGTTAAAATTTTGACAGATTTCAATTTATTTTATATTAAAATAATTTACTAAGGAAATCCTAGTCCGAAACCAACGAAATAGTCCACCGAGTAGTGTGAGAGTTTATTACATCTACGCGTTTGTTGTCAGGTTTTTAAGTTTCGTGACATTTGGATTCTCTTAACAAATTCTTAATTAATTCTCATTAAGTTCCCAGTTTCTAATGGTTGTATTTTATAGCACTCCTATTGTTATCATTGTGAATCTAGCTAGTTGCTCCGTTGTTGTATAGAAAAATGAAAATCTTATGTTGATTAGGGTCATGGAATAATATTATTATTACTTGCAATAATTGCATCATGAAATATCCTATAATACGATAAAAAGTATGACAAATAATTGCCTGTAAAAACGATTAGTGACTTTTAAATAATAAAATGACGTTGTTAAGTTTAAAATGATTTACCTTAATTCATTTTGCTAGTTTCGCAAATATTTTTTTCACAAACTGATCAGAACGCATCAATGGATTATGTTATTATTGATTGATTTTTTTAGCTAACCATTACAAGTTGTTTCGTCTAGAATCTATGGCTTATTTGACCGGATCTTCTCCTCAAAAAACCAGTTTTAAAATCAGCCTATTATTATAATTTGAATATTAGATATTTAGATTGAGTTATTATAATTTTGAATTAATTTATGTATGTTTAAAATTTTCAAAACTTTCAGGCTTTTTAACAGGCTCCAGGCCAAGCCAGGTTTTTGTACAGGCCAGGCTTAGGCTGAACATAAGGCCTATCACACGCCACAAGCCAGGCTAAGGCCGGCAGGCTTCAACACAGGCCTAGCTTGTTAAAGGCGAAGCCTGGCCTAGCCTGCCCTATTTCCACCCCTAAATGTGGCTCTATATTTTTGGGACGATGCTATAGAAGAAGAGCAATCCAAAAGCTTAATATCACCTTTAAGTCAACAATGGCTTCTCTCATCACTAGGTTGCTCCTTCTCTTTCTCTGGTATTCTCTCATTTGTCTATCTTCTGGTGCTTCTAATGATTATTCCATTTTGAACCAAGATCTTGATAAATTCAATTCTGAGAAAGAAGTCTTCCATCTATTCCAAGAGTGGAAGTAGGAGACAGAATGAGAATACAAAACCCTAAATGAGGAGGCAAAGAGATTTGAGATTTTCAAAAACAACTTGAAGCATATCAAAGAGAGAAATGCAAAAAGAAAGTCATCCACCGATTATAGTCTGGGTTTGAACAAGTTTTCAGATACGACTTACGAAGAGTTTAGCAGAATCCACTTACATGAGATGAAAGAGCCCATAATTGAAAGTAACAAAGGCAAAATGGTGTCAAACAGTGAATACTGTCCCGATGCACCTTCTTCCTTGGATTAGAGGTTGTCTGCAGCTGTAACTTATGTTAAAGACCAAGGCTCACGTGGTAAGTTTAAATATTAACCAAGTCTCTTTTTTCTCACAACCCATATGTAAAAAGCATAATGGTAAATCAAAAATTCATTCATATATAGGTTCGTGTTGGGCGTTCTCAGCGACTGGAGCCATAGAAGGAATAACTCAAATAATCACACAAAATCTTCCATCTATTTCTGAACAACAACTCATGTCTTGTGATACGAATAACCCATGGTTGCAAAGGAGGGTGGCACTTTAGGGCATTAGAATATGTCATGAATAAGGGCATTACCACTGAAAGTGATTATCCTTATACAGCTAGCGATAGCACATGCAATTCTACACTGGTTAGTTTTTATTCTTTCCTTTGATTTCTTTGCTTGTGTCGATTGGGTAATTAAAGTCTTGTATGATCTAATTCTGGTTTAATCATCTTTTCCTTCTTATTATTTATATAATTCAGGAACAAATGACATTTGCCACTATTGATGGCCATGGTTATTGGTGGAAGACAGCTATCTCAGAAGATTCTCTCTTTTGTTATGTTTTTAAGCAACCTATTAGTGTTTCCATATATGCAAGTCCAAATTTTATGTCTTACGACAGTGTAAGTTATTAGACATATCGATCTTAATTATGACATTATCTATGCATCGAACTGATTACCCAAACTCAATCATTAAAACAAGCTACATATATATGTGTGTGTGTGTGTGTGTGTGTTGCATGACCTTTAATTCGTTGTGATATATTTGACAAGTGGTTGTTTAATTTCTTAATTTTTTTGGGCAGGGAATTTTTAGTGGGGATGATTGCGCGAACATTTCATCATGTTATCATAATCGT